GGGTATTTGTCAGCTCCCTCAAAACGATGTGCTTCCTGTGTCCAAACTTTGTGTTTCTGTCAGCAGTGCAGTTACCAAAGCGATTCATAGTGTCTCAGTTTCAATGCGCATCTGCATTTCAAAGTCTTAGGGGCAAGAATTGATCAAGCAGGGTCAAAACAATGGTACTGTTTCCACCTCGTCGACAGAATGTGCGCACTGTTCCTTCTTGTGGACCATGCTTGACAGCTGTGGCTTTTCACATTTTGCAGCCCTTGCGACTACACTCATGTCTTGAAAATTGATGATGACTGCTATCTGCGTGCTGACAATCTCATGAAGATGATCAGGGAAGGTCCTGGCAAGCAGTCAAGAGGTAAGGAGTGATTTTGATGCTTTCAATGAAGTGCTAGAAGATTTGTGATATAGTGTCTGTAGATGGAACACTTGAAGTTTGAGATTTGATACTGATGTGCCTTCTTGTGGCATTTGTGCAGCTCATTTCGCAAAGAAAAATGCGTGGATGCACAAAATGTACGCAGGGCAGTTGAATGGAGCTTGGACCGGCCCGCTCCAAGGTTTTCGTCCTGACAGGAACCCTAATTCCAAGTAAGCCACAGTTACCGGTGGTGCAAGTGGGCAAGAGAGCATCCTTGTTTGGTCCTCTGCTGTAATCTGATCTGAGTTGCCAGAAATGGTTTGAGGAGTGTGCATGTTCCCAAAGCAACTGCCTGCTGGGAAGCGTGGGTGTCCATGTGTGCACGCCTTCGAGTGTGTAGCTGCGGAATGTTTGTATGTTCACTGGCTGAGAATATCCACTGCTGGATATGAGGGTCTTCCTCCATTCAGACGTGGCCTGCGTTTCATCAACATGTCCATTTTGTTTCAAGCCTTGAGAGCAGATATTCTCTTGAAGGTTTGACCAGATCAACAGGGAATTTTGTGGACAGTTTGCGGTACAGTATGATGTGGGACGCCAGTGTGGTTGATGTGGACAGTTGTGCAGAAAGTAAAGGGTACTGCGTGTTCGATGCGACATGTAGCTGTGTGTGACGGGTTGTTTTGTTCTTTTGCATCAAGGTGGTACCTTACACCAGATGAACTCCCAGATGAGCTTGCTCCTCTGGGATCAAAATATCCGTTGGGGTGGGGCTACATTATGTCGCGTGATATGGTTGAGCACATCGCACAACGTGTGTCCGACTACACGGCTCACCCTGACAGGTGTGAAATGCCTTGAATGCATCTGCTGCAAGCATCGGGTAGCAGCATGGGGTTGTGTGGATGTTTTAAGGAGTTGTTGATGCATCAGCGATAGCTGCTCTCGCTGAAATGTGTGCACAAGGAGACACTATGTTGTGGTGGCGAAATGGCGCATGTGCTGTGGTGTGCTCGAGACGATGTGAAGAGACCACACAGCAGAGCGGCAGATTACTGACGTGCTGCCAGAGTAGTATTTGCAGTTTTGCAGCTTTGGTCTGATGTGGCTGAAGCCAAGTTGTCTGCCTATTAGGATGAAGACTTACCTGGCTTTGCCCTGTGAATGTGGACACTTGTGAAGACGAAGTTACAGCTTGTCAGGGTGGCTCCAAGTTCTGAATACCTGTAGTACGTCCTGCGCACTGCTGGTTGAATCGAATGAACTTCTCATGCCTCCCTACTCTGACATTTGGCCTTTGCCAGGCGCCCTAAATGGTGGGCTCTCCTTCCCTGGGAAGACACGCTTGTAGGAGTGCTGCTGGCGGATGCAGTCAAATTGGACAACCATGCAGGCTTCAAAGCAGCCTGGAATGGGTGCTCCAACAACACTGTGGTAAGTGCATGTGGCGCATTCCCTTCTGGAGGCGTTCCTGTTTGTGGTAGTTGCTGTTTGGGCTGTCTGTGCTAATGAACTTACTTTCAGTATTGAAATGTGCTTGTTACTGCATGTTGAATTGCGGTTTGCGTTGCTGTACACATTTTCTTCTGTTTGCCTTTGCAGGTGAAGCACCTTGACATCGATGCACCCGAGTTTCAATACCACCTGTACGATGCTGAGGTCACTGGTGGCTGGACCAACAACTCTGTTGACTGCTCTGCTGGCGACTTCCTACCGGATGATGTTGATAACTGGAGAGCATGGAGAAATTCGCTGCCAGATGTGACTTGGGTTGGGGAGACATGATGCCACATTGGCCCGTCCCCTTCCCCCCTTTTATCTTCACGATCTTGTACAATGTCAGGCAAGGTTGAAACATGTACATCACAATAGGGTAGGAAGTGAGGAAATTCTTCCAGACTTGGCAGCTAAGGCCAGCGAGTCGTTGAGTCGTGGAACCGTTGGGCTGGTCAGGGATCTGAACCGTGGCTTTATGAACGACAGTACCTCGACAACAGCGAATTGTCCCCTGCATGCAGACCAATCACAGTACCTTTGGGCGAGTCAAGGGTCTGAGTCAAGGCTGCCACTCTAAACGATAGCGCCGCAAGAACCTTTGTTGGAACGAGTTGCCTCCTGCATGAGGGCCCATGGGAGTCCAGCGCGCGACAGGGAGCCTTCGTTTTCTATGCCATTTATTCATCAGGATTGGCACCATTCTTGGCAAGGAAGTTGGTGGAGGTCGGAGGTATGAATGTCAATTCCAGGCATAAGCACATGCGATGCATGGCGTTGTCTGGAAAGATGTCCTGAATCTACAGCGTATGGTGGGTGAATGGTTGTTTGAACTCAAGACAATGTGTGAATGACGCCTGTGCCTCGAATTACTTGAATATTGCAGCTCTTGATCAGGGGAGAGGCTTGGAATTATGATGAAATCAACAACCCATAGCACCTCGTTTTGCGGGGTCCTGATTTCACCGTGCAGTCCACGAGCAGCAAGACCTCATTTTGCGGCCAAAATGCTCGTTTACTCTTTGTTCCTGCAGCCTGCCAGCATGCCAACAAAGTATGCATGAAAAACCGTGTTGAACCAGAAGAGTTTGCGAGGAGTATTTCCCTATGTTGCTCAGAAAGGAATGTTTTGACTTTTTCTTTCTTGCAACTCGGAACGTTGCACAGAATTGATTCCACGATTGTTTCTGAAAACTTCCGGCCCATATCATTGAAATGTCCTCCCAAGTCTTCTGTCTGCATTCGTGATCTGCTGCCTATTCCTGCTTGCTTTGGTAAAGAAGGGGCGGCAAAATGGAGGACGACACTGGTGTGCACCTTGCCCTGCCAAGTCTTCTGTCTGCATTCGTGAGCTGCTGCCCATTCCTGCTTGCTTTGGTAAAGAAGGGGCGGCAAAATGGAGGACGACACTGGTGTGCACCTTGCCCGCCCAAACTGTAATACGCAGCAGTCGCCTCTGTGGCCGCAACGGCCATGTCGGTGGCACGCCGTCATGGCCACGTGCGTACCCTTCAGTGGTGTCCTGGGCCTTGGGGTTGCCTTTGCTGCTGAGTGTGAGCGCACGCCCTAGAGATCATTCGCCATGGCTTGTCCCCACGACCAGGAACAAGGGCAGACCAACGTGGTAGGCGATTGCACTCAGCGCATGTGGCATCCGGTCATTGTCCAGCCGGCCACGTCGTCCCAAGCCAATAGTCGGAGAGACATCAGGACGATGTCAATTTGCTGCTCAGTCCCGTGTAGGCATCCGTGCTCCGCAGGTGTTTGTGGTGCTGTGGCACCTGCATCACCGTGCATGACCACCGCATGTGTGGAGGCTATCTCGGGTTGAAGTGTGTTTGACGAGTTGGGAGGGCCATGTTGGTTGTGAGGGTGGCATTGGTTAGGCGACCAGTCAGGTGTCGTGGGGGCCTGCCCAGCCAGCAAGTACTAATAGGCCAGGTTTACATAGTCGAATTCTGTATACTATACATACTGTGAAGGCTTGGGACAACTAGGGCGGCTGTGAGCAGACGCCATGCTGCGAAGGGCCAGACATAGCATGGCAAATGGAAGGTCCGCAGACGGCCATGGCCCTGTTCTTAGCTGATGTCGATGTTGTGCCAATAACATTATTCTTTAGCATCGTGGGCCCCCAGCGTCGAGTCTTGACGCTACTGGCTTTTAGTCATAATGCCATCTATTAGCTAGCGTTTTAGCCTCTAATAAAGGGTACCGAGATCGGCACAGCGCGGTCCCAAAACGACCCCAACCGTTTCTTCGACCTGAACGATGGGCACCGTCTGCTCCGATGTGGCCCACTCCCTGCCTGCTTGACCGTCACATCGACCCTTGTGGGGCCTCCCAACGGCAAGCGCATCCGACGGCAATAACGTTCGACGGCAACAGGGCCGCATGCCGCATCAAGGCCATCGGCGGAACGACGCAAGCGGCGTCCAGGCTGGATTTGTGCGGATGTCAGGCCGCCGGCGGACGAGCGGCGCTCGCTCCAGCAACAGTCACGTGCCCCGTGCCGACGAAGCGGTACTTGTTGCCTTCCGATCTGCGTGACCGAGGCCGCTCAGCCATTGGCCATCAGCCAATACTCATAATGCCTTGGCCGCTCCTGTGGCTCACTGAATGGCCATCTCGGACGCCGCCCTGCCACCGCACCCAAACCCCAGCCGACTGGAGCTGTGGGCCCCTGCGGCGCGGTGCTCCGGCGGGTGCGGCCCGGGGCGGGCAGGCTCGGCGACGCGCCTTTGTCCGTGCCACTGGCGCCAATGCTGACTGGCAAGGCGCACCCCGGGCCGGGGGCATTGGCGGCCCCCGCCATGCGCCGCGTCGCGCCCGTGAAGCGCATCCCGGTGCGCGTGGCCGCGTCGGGGAGCGTCCAGGCGCCGCCGGAGACGCCCAGCAAGGGATCTGCGGAAGGCCCCACGATCGTCGACAAGCAAGTCTTACACAGTTTGACTGATACTGGGCGTGAGGTGATAGGGAGCATGGACGAGTTCATCAGGACAGACGTGAGTGCCGAAAGCGTGGCGAAACAGGGGCAGGGCATTATTCCTTCCGTGCCCACGGCGGAACAGCGCGTAAAAGGCCTGTTGCGAAACGTGGACCGGGGAGCAGCGTCTTTTTTTTGACTGTTTCCTGAGTGTGATCTCAAGATCCGAGTCGTTTTGGCTATGGCAGAGAGAGGCGTCGTGAATTTTTGTGTGCGCAAACGAATTTCCCAAATAGCGGCGTGCCATCCACTTCTGTGCCAACAATCATTCACCGCCCTTGTCGTTTCGTGGGTTCCATGAGATCCATTCGGTCATTAGCACATGCCGCAGTGCATCTGCGAGAGTGATCATCCCAGATCTGTGCACGCACTGCCGAGACGTGTGCTTGGAGAGCAGCGAAGTAACTTAACACTGCAATGATAGAACTGCCCAGTAGCAGCTTTGGAACTTCGAATTTGGAGCGCCAAAACATGGGTCTTTTGCTGGAGTTGCCTGCTTATTTGCGTGTATAGGGTGCCAGGGAAATTCCCTGTTGGTGCTTGTTGGTTTGTGACAACGTGTCGTTGCCACAACTACTTCGGTGCCTGGACTTCAGCTTGCAACCAGGCTGTGTCAGTCAGCCAGAAAGTCAGGACTGTTTTAGAACAGCCGCACATGGACTCCAAGCACAGCGCCAGCCTGCTTCCTGAAGATCGACAACCAGTCTGACTTGGTCATACTTGCGGGTGTTCAATGCAATATGCCTTTTGAACAGACAGAATGCAGGTTGCTTGGAGACCCTGTACCAAACCTCAACCCAGTGGAGAGCAGTCCATTCAATCGCCTTCTTTGTTTCATTGTGTGCTGCAGGTTACAAAGATGCTGAGGCCTGTTTCAAAATCCTGGCAGCCAGCCGATTTTCTTCCTTTGCCTGAATCGTCGGATTTCATTGACCAGGCAAGTGCTGCACATTCTCTGGCTCCTTGTCATGAACCCATGATTCTTCTGTACTTCACAGAAATGTTGCGTTTCTGACTGATTTTGTTGTCTTGTAGGTTGTGGAATTGAGGACAAGGGTTCAGTGTCTGCCCACAGAATACCTGGTGGTGCTAGTGGGTATGTAAACACAACGCAGATTTTGTTGGTGACTTTTAGTGCAGATTTTTGACAGCCTACCGACTCGTTTTCTTTGGAAAACTTCTGCAGTGCCTCATATTGTGGCCCAGCACTTGAGTCTACATATCCTATAGAATGGGGAAGGCTGTTTTTTTCAGCAGTGTTTCCCAGATTTGGCCTTTGAGATGGGCCTTGCAAGGCATGCCTGATTGTTGTTATGTCAGTCTCATCTGTTTGCTTCTGTGGTATGACATGCCTGGGTGTGCATTTTGGTACCTGGGAAGCACTGCAGTGCTGACTACTGTTGTGCGGGCAGGTGATATGATCACTGAGGAAGCATTGCCAACATACATGGCGATGCTCAATACGCTGGAAGGCGTGTGTGATGAGACTGGGGCCAGCCTGACCCCGTGGGCACAATGGACTCGGCAGTGGACTGCTGAAGAAAATAGACATGGCGACCTCTTGAACAAATATTTGTATCTTTCAGGGAGGGTGGACTTGAGAAAGATAGAAACCACCATTCAGAACTTGATTGGCACTGGCATGGATCCCAAAACAGACAACAATCCGTACCTGGGCTTCATCTACACATCTTTCCAGGAGAGAGCAACGAAGGTAGGGAATGTACACAGGAGCAAGACCTGGGGCCTGCTAACTGTCAATTCATTGTCATCTGTCGATTTGAGTATCGTGCATTGGTAACCTGGTGTGGATGTTGTGTTTGAGCACACCACTTGTGCTGTGTGTCCTGTCTTGATACGAGGCTGGAACGGGGCTGTTGCTCATTTCTGGTGTGTTGCCACTGGATGAGCAGATTTCCCATGGGAATACAGCAAACCATGCCCTGGAGTATGGCGATGATGTGCTGGCAAAGATCTGTGGAACCATCGCATCTGATGAGTCACGCCACGAAATTGCATACACAAAGGTATGCAGGACACTCCAGAAGGGGTGTTTGGAGTTCTGCGTGCCCAGGGGCACTGGCCAACTGTGGCATGCTGGCAAGTGACAACAGTTTGTGCTTGTGGGATTTATGTGCTGTCCTGCCACATCGCCATAGTGTGGCAGTACAGCAGACTGTATTGCTCTGGGTCGTTTGGATTAGAGGATGGCACGTCACAAATTGTAGCAGGAGCATGACTCCAACTGCCTCGGTTGCACTGTGTGCTTAGCCTTTATTCTGAAGACCTCCATGGGATTGAAGTTCGCAGTCCCTTGGAGTATCCGCTTCTGCCTGGTCATTTCTGCGAGCAGCACCATGGACTGTGTGGATGGTTGGGGAAGGATGCGGTGGTGGCCAGTCATTTAGCAAGCACAGTTGCACTGTGCTGTCACCTGGAAGGCGATATCTCACCATCGTCTGTGCATTGCTCATCACGATGCAACTGGAAAGGGCTTGTCCTGAGCTCAGGTGGAAGGTGTAAAGACATAGTTTATTGCAAGTACGTCGATGATAGGCACATATCTTCGTTGAATGCCATATGTAAGTTCACCACTGAAAAGGGGGCTAGGAGCGTCTCCCCAGAAGAGGCTGGAATTTCGGCTGCAGCAGTCAGAAAATGCTTGTACAGAAGGTGGAAGTTCCCAATGGTCATCGTGTGTGGGGCTGCCTGCTATTAGGTGTGCATTGCATGCATGTAAGCAGTTTTCTAGTGCATTTCATAACACGGAATTGACCCTTACAACTGCAGCTCTGACAGCAGACTGTGGCATTGCTATGTTTCTTTGCAGATTGTTGATGAGCTGTTCCGTCTTGACCCATCTGGCACGATGTTGGCATTTGCTGACATGATGCGCAAGCAGATTGTTATGCCTGCCCACTGGATGAATGACAATGAACATCAAGACAAGAACAAGAGGAGCCTGTTCGCAGTAGGGGGTCGATGCACTATGTATGCCTTGTGGCATCTGGCAGCACAGCTTGGCACCAACTGTTGTTGAAGTGGAAAAGGGCACCTACCACTGTTGCGCTCATAACAATGAACAAGACACAAATGCTGCTTGAAGTGCTATGGGTACTGTTGGCGCTTTGATGAAGCTCCAAGAAGGCACGCCACTGGCATGGATCACTTGAGCATTGGAATGGCTTCTTGAATTGCTGCCCCTGAAACATGTCGAAGTGGCTGCCTGATGATCTGCTCAACCCTGTGGTGAGCGTGGAGGTGTATATGTGGCATAGTATGATGAGGGTTGCTGACGTGCACTGCTGAATTGTTTGCTTTCCAGGACTTTTCAGCTGTTGCAGAGCGGTTGAAGGTATACACTGCTATGGACTATGCCGACATCATGGAGCATCTGATCAAGCGCTGGAATGTGGGAAATATCCGTGGCCTCTCTGCGGATGCTGAAGCAGCCCAGGACTACTTGTGTGCCCTGCCACCCAGAATCCGGAAAATCTCAGAGAGAGCAGCTGGTGCGGCTAACGCCCTGTTGGATCAGGGCACTTGTTTTGTGCCAAGTGCTTGCTCAGTACTGGAAATGCTGTGCGTAGCCACACAGCACCACATTGCAAAGTTGCGTGGCATCAAGCTGGATGTTATCTGAACGTGTGATTTGGTTGGCTACTTTGGGCTACCCTGACCACCCATTCTGTGTGCAGCTGTCTTGGTCAGAATTATTTTATTGTACGTGAGAGCAATGCCACAGCTGTTGTGCTCAACTTCTGCTTTCTGTTCATACTGACAGGCCGTCGAGTGAGGGGTAAACCAGTGCATGCGAGCTTCAGCTGGGTGTTTGACGAATCTGTGCTGCTGCACGGCAGCTCGGTGTAGAAAGGTGGCACCAAGAAAGCGCAATGCCCGCTGCTTGAAAATCGTGGGCTGGCAACGCGCATTTGAGTGAACGTGAAAATAATCCCTGCCTGCGTGGCTCCTGAAATGGGGATTGTTGAGATGCTATTGATGTTGAAATGGGTAGCGCACGTATGTGAATATAGTCTGGGGAACGTCAGTAGTAACGCCATGTGCTTGTCTTTCGGAATGTAGCAAGGCTTGGCGTACAACGAGAGGCGAGTGAGGGTGACGCTCATGACGCTGGTTTAGTGTCCTGTTCCTGATGCACAGTATGGGACGCTTGCTCCGGTGGTTGCCCCACGTATTTGTATCTCCATCCGGTGGTTGGGGATTGCTTGGTTAAAGGTATTTGGCCTATGCGCTGTGTCTTGGTACGCAAATGGACACATTGAGCGCAAACAACATGCGTTGAAGCGGATCCGTGTTTTCTGTAGTTGGGATGTAAATGGTGGCAATTTGGGGAACCGGTGGCGTCCTGGCTGCCATGAAGACAGTGCAAGGATTGTTCGCTCCAGTTTGGTCACCTTAATAGGTGCAGTGTGTACTTCCAGTGTAGTGCACCGCTTCGTTCGGCCAGTCGCTCAGTCCAGTGCTTGACATGAAGAGATGATATCCCTCTGTTGCTTTCTTGGGCAACGTGACAAGCCTCCAACCAGCGCTCGTTGATAGGAGGCCAGGTGATCGATTGCGTGGTGGCTGTAGCCAAAGCAGTGCTGGTGGTGCCCTTGAATCACCACGGTAGTAAGGCAGTCAGGGATGAGACTCTGTTAATATGACACTCTTAATGCCAGATTGGCGTTTCTTGTCTTCTTTCTTCCTCCTATTTGCTTGTTTTTCTTATTTGTGCTTGTTTTTACTTTTTCGGTGGGAAGCAGACCTGGGATGCTACAAGACTGTATGATTGCCATAAAATAGGCGCAAGGTCGATCCCAATCGAACCTATTCGGACGATTTGTTGGGCCAAAAACGTTGGACAATGCCCTACTTCGGACAATGTCCGACAACACAGCCGCGAACTGGCCCTGACGCGGACACAAAAACATCGGGTATATTTCCCGCCTTGGGAGTAGAGTATCCAGCAGTTGTACGCGGTACAATTCCATGGGGGGTGTCCCACCACGCAAAGCTGACTCGTCAACTTGCGGAAGGCAGTGGGCCGACAGGGAGGCCCATTTTGCCGAGGCGGGGCAAACCTCGACTTTTCCAACAACCCGAAATAGTGTAATGTGGATTTCGATTGCCCATTGCCATGAACCTTGGACAACTCACAAGACCTTACTTGCCAGGGTACTTGCCAGGGTTTGGACGTGCAAATGATCAATACTGCTTACAATGTTTGATACACTACTAAAGTCGTAAGCAGCACTCTTCTTGCAACGGAGGGAACTCAAGTCATAAAGCGTACACTTTAAACACTGGGGTCCCAAATCTGAAAACAAGGCCAGCTGCTATTTGGTCATCTGATTGATGCCAATATACCAGTGATGTGCATGAAGGTCAGGGCTACTGATGCCAAAATGGCGGGTACCATGTTCAATAATGTTCGCGCAAGATTCCATTCAGCTGGGCACGCCAAACTTCTGTACTGGACCCAATAATAGGTTCTACGTATTGCAATCGCATTTGTTGTGAACTAAGCATATGTCAGCTTCCTTTCGCTCATCTAATATGCCTGGCAATTTCAGTCCTGGAGCCTCAAGCTGTAACATATTGTCTCTTTCGTCGTTCAAGGCACGCCCAGCACCAGAGACCATTTCAAGACGTATCTGCCTTTGGCGACAAGTCTGGCAGAACGAGAGCACGTCAATGAAATTATTTTCAAAGGTGTCAACAGCACAACATCTACATGTCTTCCAAACTCGCAGGCCGCAATGTCTGCATGCAGGTCCCTGTCCCTACTCATGCTCTTCTCGCTGTGGGTGGCAGCCTGCCCGTCCTACCGCTCGCACAGGGTTCAGAGCATATTCACGGCAAAGAGCAATGCAGCTATATCTGAGGTACCATGTTCGCAAGAGCCCATCAAGAGGGGAACTCGAACGGGTTCGACTTCCCATCACTTGATCTGAGCGCTGTGTGCTGCAATGCCTTCTGTGTGGCGTGGGCTGCTCTCGCCATGGACGGATGCCGGTCTCCTGCAGTGAATCGCCGATGTCCACCTGCCACACAAACAGCAAAAGATTGTACTTTGGATGCTGGAATCAAGCTCAACTCAAACTGTGAGCGGACATGGTATCTTTCGGTGCTGTCCCACTCCACCACAAGGACCCAAAAGGAAAGGAAAAGTACCACAAGTATACCTCCAGCAAAATGCGCAAGGATACTGCTCGCTCTGCCAGCGGCTAACGTGGGACCCCACCTGTCGATGTCTTCAAGTTGTCAATTGGATCTCCGAAGCCAGAGCTCTGCCAACAAAAGGACGGGAACTGCTGCTCTGCAAGCTCCTGAGGCATGGCATCAAGGGTGTGCAGAGCCTCGTTGAGGGCTCGCAAGGCAGTCTGGCAGTTCTGGCGTTTCTTCATTACGTCTTCACGTTCACTCACAAGCTCATCAAATAGTTCCTCCCTGCAGGCACAGAAATGGTGCATCAGCTGGGTGAACATGGATGCACACTATGGCACAACAGATCATGCAGGACCACACTTGCTGCCATCACAAGGCTTCCAGCGCCAGGCCACATTCCCATTCACATGCCAGTGTGCCTAAAACTGTTGCAGAAAAGACATGCTTCAGCCGGAGAGCTGCATGCTGCAAGCATAAACAGCACAGTGCCAACATACTTGTACAGCTTCCCAATGAGATGCTGCTGCAGTCCTCGCTGCGAGCGATGAACCAGAAAGTGCATGATGATCTTTGGCACCAAGTCGCTTATGTTGCTCTGCACCAGGTTCATGTAGTTGTCCACCAATTTCCTTGTGATATCAACAGCGATGTCAATCTGCCGATACGTGTCGCTGTTTTCGGTTGGCAGGGGGTTTGGCGACGATGACGAGGATGGTGGGTCCGCAGGGGGTAACTGTGGTGCTTCAGGCCGACCTGCAAATAGCGAGCTGAACCAACCACCCCCCGGCGCCCCATCGCCATCATATTCTGTCCGGCCAGCTGATTCAGTCCGCGATGCCTGCGACAAGCTCCCTCCCGTGTCCTGGATACCCTACCACATAACAGCACATCCCCCCATAACTCAACTGCCACAGGGCATCCAGCTCAGCGCACCTGATGGGAAAGGTTCAACAACACAGTACCAAGAATGTGCACTCAGCAGCAGCCCATGGCTGTGGCCTACAAGCACTCTACCTCCAAAAAGAGACGCAATAAGGTGCTCTGGCACATCGGAAGACAAACTGTGCAATGCCCACCTTCAGTCCAACCATTGCAGTGCTGCCAATGGTTTCTGTTCTGGGACCTCTTGCATTACGGACAGTGGGCTGCGGGCGATTCTCTGTGTTGTTTCGTTGATTCCGAGCTGGCTGTTCAGCAGTACCATCCACCTGCTGTTTTGCAGCTTCCGCCCTCTTTCCAGCACGCATTTTCTTGTCAGCAAGAACTGCAGCAACTGCACTCTTACCCCCAATGAAATCTGGATGGTCGTAGTTGATGTAATCATGCTCGCAGTCAATGAGGCTGCGAATCATCTGGTCAGCAGGCTCCCCACCCCCACGTATGTAGTCTCCCACTGCAATAGACAGGCCGCGCTGCAGTGCAGAGAATCGGCACAGCTCTAAAAACAACACAGAAGGACAGTTTCAGCAAATGGCACACACGCATCAGCAGCAGCAACATGAGGATACAAACAAGAAGCAACAATCTCAAGAAGCAAAACAAGCAATGCCCACAAGGACATTTTTAAGCAACGGTACTTGCTGATGCCCCACTTGCAAGTTGCCTGAGTAGCCCAGATCGCACATGCCTCCGCATCGACTGCACCAGAGCACCAGAGCTACCTTGTGGTGAACAATCTGCTGCCAGCCTCAGCAACTCATTCTGCACTGCGTCTTTGCAGCGCAGGGCCGGCTCCAGCAACCGCTTTATTGATCGGCGCACCAAGAGCTCAAAAGGCTCTTGGGGGATGAGCAAGGAGCCAGACACGCCAGAGCTGTTTCTGATAGTGGTGCGGATGAGGTCTGTGGTCAAGTCGCTCCTCCATTCCATCTCCCCCAGCTGCCTCACAAACTGATTCTGGAAAATGTCACGGATCTTGGCACCGCCGGCCAGGCCCACCAGTACGTTTTCGCTGCGTCCATCTAACATGGATGCAAAACGCTGACAATACTCGCTCAACAGACCTAACAGCACGGCACCCCTGCAACAACAAGACATACACACAATATCTCTCAAGATTCTGTGTCAAACTGTGATAACAGCAGTACATGCATTAATCTCTGAAGCCTACCACAAGCCACAAACAGATTTTAGGGTTTAGGTTTGCAGCAACTTGAACTTGAACCGACAGACAGATGCATTGTCGACTCCACAAGCTTTTGTGCCATGATCTACCTTGCTGTTGCTGAGTCTGTTGGTGGCGCATCACCATAGTCCCGGAGTTCCGCATTTCTCTTCTCAATTTCATGTGTAATCTGCCGCCTAAGCCCAGGAAGCATGCTTTGAATGTGTGCCACCAATATGCTGTTTAACCTCTGTGCCAGATTCGGGACACCTGTTTGGGATGCTGCTTCTCGATATTCAAGATGGCTGCGAAAGAAGTCTTCTTCATTTCTGCGGGCAGCAGACATGGCTTTCTTTTTGTTGATGTCATCCTGGCTTCGGTTAACAATAGCCACATAACCCAGTCGCAAGGGAACCACTTGATTCTTCAACACAGCAACAGCATTCGTCCCCCTGTCCATGATGTCCAATTTTGTGAGCACACCTGCAGCCAGAAATTCATATCTTGGTTATCAGTACTGCTGGCACAATGGCTGCTTGGTTGGAAGGGATCTTCACCACAGGCAATGACAGGAACGTCAGTCTGGGCAAGCTTCAGTAGCAGTGGGGAACAAGTTGCTGGCCTCCACATCAACAACTGCAAGAAGGAGAAAGACAGGATATACTCACGCACAAAACGCCGCACCTATGGTCCTCACACCCTCAGGATCAACAGAACGTGCCATGCTGAGAGCATCGGAATTCGCCAAGTCCACATTTGCAGCAGTCACACCCAATATGATGCATGTTGGATGCCTCACATATTCCAGAATCATATCCCTGATGCGGGTCTCAATATCAGATGGTTGATCACCCACTGGCACACGGGTAATGCCTGGCAGGTCCACCAGCGTCATGGTCCTATACGCCACACCCATACAACCGATATCACAACTTTGTGCAGCAAAAGAAGACTGCTTGTGGGCCATACAAGAAAACATGGCAGCACATGCAACACATGCAACACATGCAACACGTTCAGCACATGCAGCACATGCAGTGCATGCAGCACATGCAGCACATGCAGCGCATGCAGCACATGCAGCACATGCAGCACATGCACCACGATTAGTTTCCTGCTCAATGCACACGAACCTGAGTAGTCAGCGCAAGAAAAGTTTCCAAAGAGCCCAAAAGACATCTGTCTTCCCAACCAGGAAATCAAACAAGCGAACAGAGAGCACAGATGACAGGCAACCCCAACAGTCCAAATCAAATTCCGAAGCTTGGGATTAGGCTGGGTACGTACAGTACATCTGGGCTGCAGATCTTGAGGCGTATAGGCTTATCAGACACGGCCTTGTTTTCTCCCACCACTCTGTCAGTTTCAGCTGCAATCTCATCTCTGATGCGTTCGAAGTCATAGAATTTCTTTCCTTTCGCGTGCAGAAATTCCCCCCATTCAGCGCCATCTTCGCCTGAGTTCTCGGTGGTCTTCACCAATTGCAGAACAAGTGGTCTCCGTGTGCATATATCAGGGCCACGGGGAAGGAAGTCACGCCCAACCTGCGTCCAGAGTCCATGGACAATAATGGGAACAATAATCGCTACTGCACGCCCTTGCTTCGACTCGTCAGCTGATGGCAGCGCAGAGAAGACGCGGAAAGGGCACCATGCCCTATCCGATCGCACAATTTGTCACCCATCCTGTTCGGATGGACGCTGTGGATCAACCACTGTCGCAACAGGCACTTCGCCTCTTCAATAGCAGACTCTCAGGCGTGAGCTGAAGGCCATCAGATATGCGACACTGACAAGCACAGGGTTCGCCCGCACTCGTAGCTTCAAGTGCACGGGACGGTCCTTCCCGGCCCACAGCTGTGCACATCGACCCATGGCGAACATTCGGCAACTCACCAGCGCCTCCAGCACACTCGATTTGCCGCTGCTCTGACTGCCAACAACCGCAATCTGAGGCAAATCAAGTTTGAAGTCCAGCGTCACCTGCGAGGAGCGCCTCCCCGTCAGTGTCCAGCAACGACTCCCCGCGATCATCAGGCACCCAGCGCAGCCGTCTCGAGGGGCGACTCCCCCATCGCCACGAAGCGCACGTCTCCGGGGCCCTCAAGGCTCCTCGCTGCCCCGCACCTGGCTGAAAATGTCCTGAAGCTTGTTGATGATTGGAATCAGGCCCTCCCCCAGCGTCTGGGACGACGCCATGTCCGCCAATCCACCCGTCCGGCACAGACGAAGGGCGCCAGGCTCCCGAAGCGCGGCCGCGCACTCCCGACGCGCCGGCGGACGCCCCAGGCGTCGACTCCGTCGACGTTGGACGGGGCGGTGCCGGCCGCGGCGAGAAAACTGCCCGATGGAATGGGCGGGGTATGTGCAGCTGACATGCACCTGACCTGGGCCGCACCCTTGACAGCATGCACACATTCGCACGAAGGCTACTCACCGACTGAGCCGAAAAGGCAACCCGGACCCCCTGTTGGGAGGGCCGGGCGCGACAATGTCCGTGGAGGCGGACGCCTTCAAGGCGCTATACCCGGACCAGTATCTGCTGAAGTTCCTGGCCAACGGCGTGCGGCCCGACGGCCGATCCCTCTCGCGCTGCAGGCCCACCACCGTGGGCTTCGAGGCCGTCTCGGACGTCGACGCCTCCGCGCTCGTCAAGATCGGCAGCACCACGGCGCTGGCGACGGTGGGCTTGGAGATCGTCCACCCCAACGCGTCCGCGGCCGCCGTCGGAGCGACCCAGGTGACCGTCAACGTGACGCGGCTGTGCGACGCGGAGGTGGGCGGCCGCCAAACCGAGTGGGGGGACACGCTGGGGTGCCGGGCGCAGAGGGTGCTGGACAGGGCCCGGCTGGTGGACCCGGAGCAGCTGAGGGTCGGAGGCTCGCCGGCGTGCTGGTCGATCGGCGTGGACGTCAACGTGCTGGACGCGGACGGCGCCGTCTTCGACGCCGTGCTGCTGGCGTGCGTGAGCGCGCTGTCGGGCGTCAGGCTGCCGGCCGGGGGGGACGTGGTGCTGCGGGACTGGCAGGACGCCACGCGGAGGAGGCGGCGCAGGGAGAAGGCGGCACCTCTGAGGCTCAGCTGCTGTCCGGTGTCGCTGACGTGCGGCGTGATGAAGGGGCACGTGGTCGCGGACCCCACAGCCGAGGAGGAAGCCGTCATGGGGGGTTTCGTGACCGTCGTCGTGGACGGCAGCGGCGACGTGCTGGGTAAGAAGCCGTTCCCGTCTTGTGAGGCAATTCACACGCCTGCGTTTGCGCCGACCCAGACGCTTGAGCAGCAGGGACGCCCAGAGGGGGACGCCGTGCATCGACGCATGCGAACTCTGAATTGAAAATTCAGCAACGAAATCCAGGACGCAGTGCGCTGCTATGGCCCCGCCGGCGTTGGAACAGTGCGTTGCACGGGCATGAGTGTGTGTGTTGCTGCGCCAGGGCTGTCAAAAGTGGGTCAGGGTGACCTGCAGGCTGTCAACACATGCATCAACATTGCAAAAGCAAGGCACAAGCAAACAGAAGCACTCTTGAATGCCGCCCTGGCAGACGTGCCCGTGGGGTGAAGAATACGGCAGGCCTGCAGAATAGCAGCCGCGTTTCATGTTGGCACTTCAACGTGCGTTCAACGTCAGGATTGCTCAAAGGTGCCATCCTCTGTTGCCATCTTGGGCAAGGATGCTGACCACCCTCCAGTCATGGTCAGGCTCATTGACTTGCTGCCTTTGGTCCCAGAAGCCAACTCCGGGACAGACAGGGCCATTGCTAGGTGCCTAGGTGACCCCACGTGCTGGTTCATAACCAGACAGCATCTCTAGACATCCACATCTTGTCGATGGGGCCGGCGTCCCTCCGTCTCAGTACAAATTCCATACTTCCCAGCTCTGTCATGACGCATGGCAACTCGCTTGCAGCGCGTGTGAGTCCCCTGTTTGTTTGGTGCACACGCAGGGTCATGGAAATTGGGGAATTGATAGGATTGGTCCAGCCGATGGGCGATCACATGCCTGCAGAGACTGTTGTTGCAGTAGTCGATTGGCTTGGAAATTTGCTCTGCTGCATATATGTATCTGTGAAGGACGAACATCTGCACAACAAAGGCAGCTGTGATGGCAGAAAGATGTAGGTAGCAGCTGTGAAAATGTGGTTGGAAGCTGTCCACAAATTTTGTGGACAAAGATATTGAAGCTATCCCTTAATCTCATTCTCCCAGACATACCGTAGTTACCCCTTATTAGTATCCACCCCCTATCGGTACCCACCCCCTTTTTTTGGGGATCGAAATCGTGTTAGCATCCGTGACCTGCTGTTAATATCCACCCCCCACCCTCAAACAGAAACGAGTGAAGGCGAGGATGGTGGCAAGGGTTAACGGCGGCTGGTGTTTAGCCGTGTTTCCCAGTCTGGGCCAAACCGCATTCCCTGCAATTCGCGCATCGACAGGGACAGTCGGGTCGGGGTGGATGCCGTTAAGGGAGAACTTGGAAGGAGCCTTGCGAAAGGCTGCGGGGTCGACTGGCTGCCGTTGGGGCTTTCAGCGCAAGATCGCTGGGCAGCGACCGACGCCGCGAGGCGCGATCCAAGAAGTGGTCGAGAATCAAGGCGCCTGGGTTTCTGGATTGAGTCAACTTTCTGCCCCCCCCTGCTGGCCAGAGCGTGTTATAGACTGGCGCCTGCCAAGGGCGTCCCAAGGCCCAGCACCAGGAATGGCCTGGCGATGGCACTGGTCGGGGTGACCGTCTTGGTGAGGCCCCACCTTGCAGAACTGCCCGCAAAACGCCATGAAGGCAGGGCCCGTCCCCAATTCGCACACCACATTGGCCACATAGCCATTCACAGATCCCATCAGCCATCCCAGCGGGCATCAGCCCGGGAAATCGCGGGAGGCCAAGCCCGTTGTCACGGTGCGGCACTCTGGTGTGTTGAGGCCCATGTTGGTCCTCGTTCTTCACATCGCACAGGAAAACACGCCTCGAGCATTCCAGCGAAGCCCTGTTGGACCAAATCACCAGTCGTCCCCACCTAGTGCAGCCCCCAAGTCCAAGCCGCTGGCTTCGATGAAGAGGCTGACAACTTTTAGTAGTAGCATTGTCACTGTGTTTGTGATTTTGTAACTTTGACTTGGTGATGTTGCTACCTATGTATGCATCTTGCATTGTTTCAAGCCCAATTGTTGGCATTTCGTGGCCTTTTTTGGTAAGAAATTTCTTTTGTTTTCTCCTTGGATCAGGGTCTAAACTGCGTTTGTATCCATGACCCACTATTAGTATCCACCGCTCATTTTTGGCGTCCAATACACACCTACAAATACCGGGTAAATACGGTATGTATTTTGTGTGCAGGATTTCCTATATTGGCCGTTGCAAACATCGCGCTCGTGATGCGTTCACAGCACACAACTCTCGTGACATGTATAGGTTCAAGAGGAGCTGCACGAGGGCTGTATGTTGGCCCAGTGACATGCTGTGCCCTATCCCTGGCACATGTATCCCAAAAAGCCAACAACAGGAGTCTAGTTTTGGAGGAGGGAGTGCAAACGTATTAGTGCTTCTGGCACGAATGTGTGGTGGTCGAGCGCCGAAGGCCCTTCGGCACAAACAACGCCCTGTTGGCAGGTGCATCTGCATTATACTGTCCAAACTGAACCCCTATTCTGACATGCCGCTTTCCACACAATGCCTCCACCAATGTGGGCCCCATGGTTCGTTCGTTTGGGCCAGTCGCAACGCTATTTTTGCCAACGTCATATGCTTGCCATGATACATTCCACTCCTCCGTGCTTGATACCCAGCGCCATTTGGTGGTGCGCACCTCGTAGCAGTGGAATCTGTTCCCTGGTGTTAGACAGTCGGATCGTCTGCAAGAAATTCCTGATCCATACCAATGCTGCCGCGCAAAAATAAAGAATAAAATAATCCCACACAACAGTTGATTGCCCGCCGCTTCGCGTTTGGGAGAGCCTTCGGCTGCATTGGCTTCTGGATGACGTCATTGTAACGCCGCCACCATCCATCATTCTGCCGCCCGAACCATCGATGATCAAACTTTGAAAGTCGGAGCTCGTTGCCCTGACCACGTGGCCTCGTACAACAGGCGTGGCAGCAGCTCCTTGTAAGGATCTTCCTCTCGCTTGTGCAGCAGGTAGTTTATGCCACATTCAACCTCTGACTTCACCTACGGATGGCGATCAATTGTTCATTGGTCAAACCGCGAGCGAAAGCAAACGTCCCGCAGCACAGACGTGTGGAAACAAGCGGGTACCCCACTCACCTGATCGTATATGTCCTGGCACCGCTCACGATCCAAATCCTGAGGAGTCGTCTTGATGGGCTTTTGGAATTTGAAGTAAAACCGTCTGGGGCCACCAACAGAGGCGATAGGCTGCAACAGCAACAAGACGCGCATGTCACAGCGATGCCATGAATTGCGGGAGGTGACCTCAGGGCATCACGAACCACTTCGTGCGTTGGTGACCGCCTGGCTGGTGGTTACTTGTGTGGCAATGCCATGAGCAGTTCCATGTTCGCAGCCTCGAATCAAACCTGCAGCTGGGCAATGGTGGGCAGGCAACGCGCGTAGGGGACACGTTGGATTCACTCAAGTATCCTTCATGATGCTGACCTGCAAAAAGACGTCTTCCAGCGCAGTTGTACCATTTCTCCGAGCCTTCGGGATTTTCTGCAGCCGCTCTTTTATCATGTCTCCAATTATTGGCGTATTCAGGAGGTCGTTCCTGTCAGCTATGATGTCCACACTGTCTTCAGCGCCAACCGCCGCCAAAGGGACAATCGTGGCACCGAATTTCGCCGCCATGCGAACAAATTCCGCATTCTTTGGCCAGAACAGTTGGTAGTCTTCGTTTTTGTTCTTGTAAGCCTGGGGACATCACCATGAATGAAAAACCAGATCACACTTCACCAAAGGCACACTGCAGGTCGAAGATGGATGAACCTGCAGAGATCGTTCGAGAGCAGGGCACGTCCGCACGCAAACACAGTTTACCCTAGTGCAGAAGCCATAACCCCGCTCCCAGGGGTTAGGCCAGGGGGGCAACATAATAGAAGCCAAGAGACCCCACAATACACATCGACATTCAACTACACCATGCTAATATCTGGTGTAGGCAAGAAGGCTTTTGCCGCCAGGCTTTCTCAGGTCGAATCGGCCACTGCTGAAACTATGGCCAGAGACACTGCTGGAAGCAGACGATGGACAGCGCTCACCTCTCTTACACCACCAGGATAAAGGAGGACTGCTTCACCTTGGCTGAGAAGCTTGTACATATTCTTCCCGGTCACAGGCACAGCCCCGAAAGTTGTCAGCATGCTGCTGATGGCAGGTCTGCCGCCGGGCTGCAATGGACCCATATCAGGAAGATCGCCAGCTTTTCCATCATCGTCTGGTGTCTGGGTTGTGGCGGACACACAGACCCGTAATCAAACCAACAGCGTCAGCAATGGACAAGCATGCATGAATGACCAAATGGTCAGTGCAATAATTTGCAAGGCATCTGGGTTTGTTACTTGCGTGCAAACAGTACATGGGCACGATGATGTCACTGTTTCTGCACTGTTCAACGTGGACTTCACGTTTGTGCTGATGAAATGATGAAGAAAAAAAAGCATTACACCCATCGCCGAGAAGCTCAGAATAATGTTACAGAAGCAGCACAACAGCAGCAGCACAATATAAGCAACGCAGCTCCACAAGCCAATGCACATCGCGACATTGACGTGTGCAGCCACATCTTGTGAAACTAGCAAAATTCAAACCGATGCCACTAATAACATCGTTACAATTGAAATAGGCGTAGAATTTTCCCACATCCATTCCAGGGAAACATACCCTGGAAACAAACGGATGAGCCAAACCTCGAACCAGAATCCCTTTCTCCTTCAACAGCTCATCAACTAGCATCGCCATGTCAGGAGCAAACGTTTGATGATTGCCAACAACAAGTAGTGGCCGGGAAGCTGGAAGGCCAGACAGCCCTTGGACGATCCTGAATGCCAGCACTCTCAGCGTATCAGGACAGGTCAGTGGCAGCCAGTGCAACAACAGCTCCACCTTGAAGAAAGCCAATCACTGCCAACCGATCAAAATCATAAACTTTCCCTTCCCTGTACAACAATTCAGCACATCTTTCGGCAACACTCATCAGCTTGACGTTTAATAAATAGGTTGATTCAAGATAAGCATCAGCAACCATCCAGGCAGCCACAAGTGCAAACATAACAGGCAAAGGGCATCAAAATTAGTTGAATGTGTCTAGAAAAGGAGATCCAAGGCAGCAAGCCATGCACTGCACCTGCCATCATCCATAGTTGAAAAGAAAACAGGGCTGGTAAGCCTGGCAAGGACCTTGAGTGGCCCTGCAGCTCGATCTCGTTCGATTGGCGTTGGAAGTTCCACTGGCCCAGGTCTGCCAAAGTTGTTGATTTTTGGAACGCCAGCAGTGGGCTGGCAGGATAGGCAGCGTTCGGTAACAAAGAAGCCCTCTTCCTGGATTCAGCAAGCACCCCAAGCTCAGCACATCTATTGTCAAGAGGAGGTATGTCAAACGCCTAAATGCAAGTGCCTGAGTGCATCAACAAAATGACAAAAGGCAAAGGGCAAAGTGCAAAACACAACAGATCCACTCCGCTCTCCATTCAGAGTGCAGTGCATTGCAACCCAAGCGCAACACCAACAGCACCATAGAACATGTCCAAGATCGCGCAATCCAAACCCAGTCAACGAAAGCCTCCCATGCAAGTGGTCAGTCTTGTTGACACATCAGTGGACCTTGTCACGACGAAAATTACAGAAAAGCAGCCATCCATCCAAAACAATCTGCTCAGTAGAACTGTTAACAAACTCCCCACTTGCTTGCTGTCGAGCGGCCTATTGGTATCCTGCTGCAGTGAGCATCATTTAAAAACCACATGCTTAGGTTGTCCTGGCATGGTGCAGCTCCGAACCTTCATAATCTCCACCAGGTCCACTCCTGCTTCTTGCAGCAAAGCATGGCTCCTGCCGGGAAGCACTCTTGTGGAGCACCGTGGAAGAAGTCTACGCAGTCTCTGAGCCTCAGAGCGAGAGGGCAACATCCAGTCTCCTTCTCCAGCCACAAGAAGCACACGCTGCTGGACCTAAAGCAACAGAATAACGGTGACTGTAAGAACTACAAGGGGTCGACACAGGCAGCATAGCTGTGTTAGCACATGAACAACCCTATGGTGACTGCGCTTCACATCCCTGCAAGACAGCCCAGAGGGACAGCATTAATTGCTGAGCCTGAGCTCTCCTGCTCATAAATTCCACACTATGGGTCCCTACCTTGGGCAGCACTTTCTCTACCTCGTCGATGCCTTGCTTCACAAGCTCCAGTTTCCATGCCACAACAGGTGGTGGCAACACATCAACCAAGAAACCAAGCGTCCCAAAAAGCTGCAAGATGCCCTGAACAAACAACGAAAGAGCTGATAACCTTGAAGAACAATATGCTGGTGATCCTTACATGCCTGTCAGGGATTGTGGCAGTGAGCACTTTGGGGACGTTTGCGAGTGCTATTTGCTTTCTATTCTGCCTTCAAGCTCAAAATTTCTGGACTGCTGTAGAAGGCAAGCGCATGAAACCTCAGCTCACGTGTGCCAATGGAATCCTTTGATTAGATACAACAGCATCCCCTTGCAACACTTCCCAGTATTCACCTTGATACTGTTTGGAGTTGTGTGTTCAAATCTGGCATTTGACACCCAGGCACCCAGTACCATTTGGAGTCACAACTTGCCTGCATCCTCAAATTCAACCGTTCACCATTGAATGTCTGGACATTTGCCATCAATTTTCCATTTCCAGTGCCTAGTGACAAGGGACAGATGTCCCATTCTTTCATAAGTGGATGCAGAGCAAAAGCGGGGGATGTAATCAACATAAAAATGAGAACTTATAGAGTGGGGTTCAGATGTCAGCGCAACAAACAATGATGTTCTTGGTAAACACCACAAAATCAAGGGGCCAACTTCTTCCCTTCAAAGCTTTCCCACTTGGCTCATTCACAGCTAGCAAATTCACAAATGGTGTTGACCTGCAGTGGTGTCCAAACACATCTGTATGTCTCCGTGACGCAAGACAACATATTTGGGCCTGCATGCACATGTGCTGCGCTACAAACGTTTCTGTCATTGGAGATGATTGCCATTGATTGGGAATCTGGTACAGTTTGGCAACACATAGATATGGCCAAATCCAAAATGATGTCAGCAGGAAGGGACACTCAAAAGTTTCTCAAGTCGTACCTGAGGAGGAATTCTTTCAAGACATGAGCAAGCAGATTGCGTAGGATGGGCAGCAGGGCTAATATTGTCCTGGAAGACACTTGGTGATGTGCCACCAGAGCGGCCGCTTCCACGGGATGCGCCAGCCTACTGGCATAAATAATGTCCTGGACAAAACTTGGCAGTATGTCCAACAGATTGGTCACTCACCTGGGATATTCCAGTCGACTGGCACGGAGTATTGGGGCCTTGGACATGTTCTTTGGTGTTTTTAGTTGTTGTGCATGGGGTTAATGCACAACCACATATGTGCTGTACATGATCTGTGCATGTGGACTTTCAAGCACCTTGCCATGCTGTGTGTTCTTCTCAACATTTATGCTTCAACCCACACGTGCACATCAACTTCCTATGTTCATGTGCTGTCGTGTACCAGTTTGCGTTGGAACAGTGAGCTGCAATGACTTTGGTGGACAAACAATACCAGATATCAATCCATTCCCTGGAACCATAGGTGTGATCTTCATGTTCCCGTGTCTTCACAAGCAGTTGTTCCCACAGCCACTGCTAAGCGGCTGACTGCACCTAGCTTAAGAACTGATGTGCAAGTGCACCCACCTCGGTGACACTCGCAAATTGCTCATCTGGAGGGCCCGTCAAGTCAAGGCCTTGGGCAAGCAATGCCAACGGGTTCCCAAATGCTGGTGCCAGAGCAAAAGGAACAGCACCATAGAGTCGCTCTGGAATTCGTGGCATGAGTGGGCCCAAAATCGGCCAGTAGGACTGACGATAGCTGGTGGCAGGATTGACCAGCACCACACGGTCTACAATTTCCCTGTAAATCACAAACAACCGTTCCTGTTGTCTGGGACCAGCATGCGATACAATCCTTTGCATTTCTGATGCCAAACCAAGGCCATGTCCCCTCATGGTATATGCATGGTATGTATTTGGTTGCTAAACGCCCAGTGTGAACATGAATCTTTCATCATTTCAGCGCCTGTACGTTAGGGCCAGAAGTTTGCCCCTTACCATGTGCCTCAATGGCACTGCGCATACCAAATTTGCACAATAGCAGGCACACGTACATTGTGCAACCCACAAGTTACTAAGCTACATAAGGGAAAGCAAGCACAATGATGCGTGCATAATGGTGTGGAAAGAGACAGAACTGGATATCAACTGTGGTATTGAGGCAAGGGTCATTTTCTGGTGACTATGCAAGTGGCAAAACAATATGCCAAGCGAGGACATCTATGCCTGTTCAGGCCCCTAGCTCACAACCCAAGAAATTTCACACATCAATCAACACGTCAATCAACAAATATGGAATATGGTGCACAAGCAACGACACATGGCCAACGTGCACTGAGGGTTTGAGGCCTTGCCTGCATCGTTCTGCCACAACCAAAGCTAGGACACCTCCAAATGATTCTCCTAGCAGGTACACTGGCCGGCCTTTCGCACTTGCGTTGATTTCATTCCTCAAGTAGCCCTGCAGCATTACATCACTGCCACAATCAGCAAACCGTTGGCTGCTACCTGAAGACTCTCAATACCATGGCTCAGTTCATGCAATGGCATCGATGAATGTATTGTGTGCTAATTGGCTGGCAAATTCTGCCAATGTTTGCAAGCACAGCAGCAACAACAGAACAATCCATTATCTGGGTACCTCAATAATCCCAGCAATTCCTGCAAAATCCGTTCGATCTGCTGGAGGAACTGACAGCGCATGCAGCTCAAAAGCTTCCACCAGCATAGGGAACTGGCGGAAGGCTGCAAGGCCGGTTCCATCAATTCCCGGGATGTAGAGCATGATTGGGAGCTCTTCAGGATTGATCATCTTGTTGCGTGTGGCAACGAATGGGCTTGAAAACCTTGGTGGTCCCCCTGTAGGTGTGTGAAGGAACATTGTGTCACATGGAGTGCTGTGTGGAAGCCATGATATGTATGTCTCTGTTTGCATACCCTTGTAGAAAACAAAGCAAACAAGCAAACGTCTTTGGTAGTAATGCTGATTCAATTACATAGCGTGACAAAAGGGAACTGCAATCAGTCTTGCAGAGTAGCAACTGCGTCCATTTGCCAGGCAGTGCCACCCCGCTTTCAGGATTGGGGCATGAGAAGCTGCTGCTACACTGCAACAACTAACTGTCAACATTCAGAAACAAATATCTTCCCAAAAGCCAGAACCACAAGTTTCTTATGTGGGCAGTTCCAGAAATCGCTTATTGGGCTGGCGAATTCGAGCTCACATGCTCGATTGTCCTCTGGCATGTGCTTGAGGCAACACGCACAACACAGTACATCCGTTGGCATCAATACTTACAACAAATATGGACAGAGGTATGAAATTCGTAGTCGATTTCCGACATTACAACAAAACAATTATTGGGTGAAAAGCTACGGGGAGCTGCAGTATGCAGGCAGTCTTCATGAGCAATGGGATATCTGTGCGTCGTGGCACAAACTGCAGTGTTGGAGCTCGCCGCCCGTCCCACCATCGTTCCCAAGTTGCTCGCTCAACGACACTTGATTCGGTTCCTGCCGCCCAAAGATGGTGTTAACATAGCCTTCGCCGTTGGCTCTTGTGCCTTTCGCCTCCCGGTCTTTTCCTGAGCATGATCGTGCCGTCATTCCAGTTCCATCCATTGCCATCAGCCGTCCAACGAGGACGAATGGACACTGGAGCTCAGGGTCCAATGCCGGAATGGGGTCGCACAGCAGCAATACTCGCATGTTCCGTGCCTTTCGCAAAAGGCTGAACAGAGAGAAAGGCAAAATGGGGGAGCCAAGGGGCCCAACATGCTGTAGCCACTCCGCAAAGTGCCCACACCTTTCGCTTGTGTCGCGGCAGCGGAGACCCTCACACACTTGGGCCGTGGGCTCGCCAGATTCTGCGCACCAGGCACGCGCCATCGGCTGAGCATCGCGGCGATGGCGAGCCAGCCCACGTTCGCACGTTAAGCTTGGTGGTGTGCACACCGCGACGCTTCGCAGCTGGAAACGTCGCAGCGCACCACATTCCGAGCACCAAGTGTGTGGACGGCAATTGGAACCTGGTGCAGCGCATGCTGGCCGCTGGTTTGTAGAGGCTCCTGGTGCGCAGTATCTCGTACAGGTACTGGGTTAATTGCATTTCTGCTTGAACGGATCCCGCCTCCGCCTGGCACGCATGCACTTGTATCACAAGTGTTCGACACTCTCGCGATACAACTTTCTCATCAATGTTCCGTCTCAAAATGCTAATGACCGACAAACTGGATTTGTTGACGCTTATGCGATGCAAACTAAGGTACCAAACAACAGGTACCTCATCTAGAACGTAATCCTCAAACCTAACTCCATCTCCAAGGGATGAGCAGGTGGTGGGAAAACAAGGCAGCACGCGGTCCTTGACCACCTAGGGAGGCTTTAGTAGGGAGGCTGCCCGCCGACTTTGTCAATGACCACCAAGGCGCTGCCTCCGAATGCAACCCACAAGGCTGTCTTTGAGAATTGTGCCAATTGTCCGCTGATCCCACCGTGCACGTTCAAACACAGCATGTCAACCAGGCGGTCCAGACTGCCAAGGACGGGGCAGCCAGAAATGAGTTTGGCTGCTGTTACTGCCCAGGGTGCCTGGCGCATCAGAAGCGCCCACCCGCGTCTCCCTAACCAGAAACTCGTCTACAAACCTTTGATAGAGGCGCGCTTGTGACACAATGCACACAACTGGGAGTTGTGTTATACTTGTTTCTGCTGCCTGTGACTCCAGGTGCGATGGGAATCTCTGAAAAGTTGTCACTGCCTAGGATGGACCGAGTATGCCATCATTGAAAAAGCTATTGGAATGGCAGACGGAAGGCTGACGCGAGAAGGAACACTTGCCAGAACGACTGCTTGCTAAGAATTCTATAAAGCTGCTATTCTGCTGTGCTTTGAGCCTCAAGGATCGGATTTGATTTTTAATGTCGGGAAAGAGCTGGATGACGAGACTCCTGGCAGAGGTCTGAGGTCGGATTTCATTCATTGATTATGTTTGCGTTTGGAGTTCATGATAAACCCGTGGAACACCAACGCTGCAAGGCAGCTCGAGCTGCTGAGGTTCTAACCACAAAAGCATGTGTTAAAAGGCCCTGTCCCGCTGTGGGACCTATACTTGTATCAACGTGTCTGTCTGGAACATCTCGTGCAGGGAAGTTGCAGACTTGTTTCGAAGCTTTTCTGTACTCTGGGCCCTCCTGCTGTCATCGAATCTCATGATCTTGGTAGGCAGGGTGGTAAGAGAATGGGTCTGTAGATTGGCTTGGCAACACCACAGTATCAACACTCAGGAATTCAATGCTTGAGCAGTCTGGAGATGGAAGACTGGCGCCTAGTAGCTCATTCCTGCCTGGGAGTTTGCACGTGGGTGTCTGTGTTCGAGCAACCCTGCCCCACTGGGAGCGTGAATGAGTGTCTCCTTGGAAGCAGCACGACAACGACTCCCTGGTCATGGCACGCATCTCAACTGAATTCATGTGATCACACAGCGTCAGTTTGCCAGTTTCCACAGCGACCTTACAATTCTTGTCAAAAGAGCACCCGCTCCCCGTGTCACAACACCTAGAGGAAAGAACGCACGGTGCATGTGCCAATGGCAGACTGGGACTTCGTCATGAGGTATGTATGTGTGTGCAGCGACAGGATAGTGGAATTCAGAGATATTGGGCAAGGAAGATAGGGGAGCGTGCTATCAGCCAAGGCGGTTGGCTTTTAGTGGGATAAAACTGTGCCCACAAAACTGACTTAGAGGCTGGCTACTTTGTGCACTTCGAATTTCCGTTATTCCGGACGAAATGCTACGTACACCAGCAGAGGAGCGCTTTCAATACCGTTTAAGAAGCATCGGATCCAGGTATATGTGACTGGACTGCTCCTGCTGTGAGTATTCAGGGGTATCTCTATGGAGCTATCACTCCCGGTGTGCCGTGTACATCTTTGAGGATGGCCACACAGGACAAACATAAGGACACAACTGGATGCAATCGCACCACACCTGCAACACTGAGCTCCTTTGCTTCCTATCCAGTTCGCAGATTGGCCTGGAGTCGCACAATTTCAAATGCCCCAAGCTCATTAAATGGTGCAGAGCACCACAGTGTTGGAAACCATTCCACGGTCTGTCCATGCACCCCTAACATGGCCACTAATCCCACCCTAATCCACAGCAGTCAACCACAGTTCCTCTGAGACACCCACCTGGCTTATCTGAGAAATGACTGCATTCGCATGCATTAGGCTGATATCTTGACAGCGAAACAACAGCGCCAGGTACAGAAAGGGGCATAGAAAGAGGCACAGAAACTCTGAAAGATGGAGATTCATTGCCTGGATTGCTGTCTAACCATTGTGGGCCACAAAAACGTACCCAAGATGCTGGTCACCAATACATAAATCAGATTGGGCAAATGTTGAGATGGGATCCATGATGAACCTGCTGCTGTCTCCGCAAACAGCATGTTAAGACAAGTTTCTTATGAGTCACGTTCTATTTACATTCTATTTTTTGCTACTTCCTCATCCAACAACACTGCATGCATGTGCATGTCCTCCAAACATCTCAGGCTTGTGTCTCAGGGTTCCTGAACAACTGAAATATCCTGCTGCATTGAACACAAACCATCCAAGCACAAGCCTATCACCCAACAAACTACCCAGAGACTCACCACCAGTTCCGCTCACGCAATGTGAGACACAGCAAAAAGAAATTGGTTGAAGTTCATTGTTACAGACCCAGCATTGGTGGGATCGAATGCAGCGAATACAGTCCTGCAATTCTTCATGAACAGAGACAGGGCAATGAATTCGGCAAGGCTTAGATGGCCATCTCTGTCTGGGTCGAATGCCTGGACCATGGACATGAAGGCAGGAACATCGATTTCAAACCCTACAACAACAGCAGCAGAGGCAACAGGCATCAATGGCAAAAGTTGAAGAACTGTGGAGCTCATGCAGTGCCTGATAAAAACTGTATACATTGCCCTATATCCAATATTCAACAGCCAGTTGCACAGCCATGGTCCAGAAAGAGCTGAACAGCTCAACAATCTTCTGAGGTCAAACCAGAGCTATTAGCAACAACAAAAGTGGACATCTGAGGCATGCATTCAAGAAAGATGCCCAGCATTAAGTTGTTTCTGGTGAGGACAACAATGATTCTTATCTGCAGCCATTGAAGTTCCCTGATCTCTCTATTCCTGTGAGGCTGCCAAGGTGCAAATGCAACAGAAAGACACATCTGACATCCAACAGCAGCAGATCCAGTACAGGGACTAGAACTACAGTAAGTTAGAGATAAATGCTGATGCTTGCAAACAGCACCCAACATTGCTTGCTAGATGGCAGGCACCACTGTGGCTAATGTAACGGCTGGAAGTCTATGCATCAGATCCAGGTGCTGTTAATACCACGACACCCTTGACCAGAGAATTTCCCAACAACTGGTCATTCTGGATTTCTGTCTGCACTGTGCACAGGATGTGACACCTCATTATGACACGCTCTACACTTCTTCGACCAAATCCTGTGTGTCATGTGTCCAGGGCTCACACTTCCCACTCCATTATGCAGCTACAGCATCTACGTTTCCCTGCAGCACGTCTGTCACGACGTGCTGTGTCATATTTTGGCAAATCTGGTGATAGCTGATTCTGACCACACCCGCCGCTTGTTCCTTGCAGGACTGGAAAACAGACAACATGCCTGCATGCTTGACAGCGCTCTCCACCTCTTGCACTGCCAACTTTCCGTCTCTGTCCGTGTCAAAGTGGCTGAAGCTACTCTGAAGCTGTGTCAGGAACAGGTGAAGCCCCTCAAACTCTTCAAAACCAATGGACCCAATGCTGTCCTTGTCAAACGCCCTGGACGTCAAAGAACAGCATAAGCAAAGGCTGTTGTGCCGCAGTGCGTACCGCCAGTGTCAATGGGGCAAGGAGGAGGCCCCAGTATCATCAATCCAGGCAGCCGTGTTCCAAGGCTGCTTGACACGTCCTCGGACTGTCAAGCCCGAACTGCTGCGCTGCCAACGACACGATAGTGTGCCGACACCCTTCCTTTCAAAGGCTGGAATATTGCCGAGAATAATCCAAGCAGGCAGAGGACCATATTCGACAATGAAACGATAAGCAGGATTCCGCACAGCGCGCCACTTCACCTGATCATCCGTGCGACGGTAGCAAGGCTGAAGTTCAAATTGCCCTTTTTCAGCGCCGCTTGAAGTTCTTCCGCCGTTATTTGTCCATTGCCGTCAACGTCCACGGCCTTGAGCACCAGGACAGCTCCGTGTGAAAACCTCTGGGGCCTTGGCGACACTGTCCAGTTTGACTTTCGAGCCAGTAGCAGTTGGCGAAAGCGACTTCAAATATCCCGGCAAGGTGAATTCAGCTTGATGCAAACGCGCAACACTCTCTGGCTATTGCAATGCTTGAGCAGATGGAAACTGCAGCACCACCTGAAACCAGTTGCGCAGGCTTGACCCCATCCAAGCGTGTCAAGAACTTTCCGGACCGGGTCTTTTCTCCAAGTGAACGTCGTTGGTTGCCGCTGGGCTCCTCTGTGGGGATTCTTGGATGAAATGGTTTTGTAACCAGAAGCTGGGCTGGGCAGGTGGATGGAATCTACGGATGAAATCGGTGAAGTGATCGTCACCCAACACAATCGTCGAAGGAATTTCTGCCCTCAGATTAGCCATTGTTCGGGGCGCCAGTTATCGCTCACATTAAGAAATTCCCTGTCCCAGTCTTTCGTTGCCAGCCGGACCCAGATCGGCGTTACGCAACGTGCTCATGAGACATGGCCCGGGTAATGGGCGGGCGGGGGGGGTTCGTAAAATGCCATAATTGCGGTAAAGAACCTCCCAAATTGCCGGGCGGTTGTGGTGGTCCAAAGTACACCCAAAAGCACGCAATTTCAAACACCATCTCGCGCAAGTCGGTAAACGGTATGTGCCCTGCGGTGTGGTACGGTACAGGTGATCTGGGAGATTGCAAAAATATGCCTCACGCCACGTGACGAAAGTCAAACTAGGCTGGGAATCAGAGTCGGATTTTCAGATACCCAGTGTACATTCTCCCGAGCTGTTAAGACGCATCGGGAATAGCTGTGGATCGGATAGCCATCCCTCGAAACTCCCACCAACAGGACGGTCGTTGAGCCTGAGCACTTGTTTCCGAAGACAACGCTCCGTAGGCGACGGGTTCAGACAGACAACTCGGTTGAGTCGGAGATTCGTGAGCCACCAAGTGACTCTGTTCTACTCTAATGAAGCGAAGCGAAACATGTTCAAAGTGGGGACTAAGGGAGGAGCTTAAATAGCTGGCCCCACTCAAGTCCCCCCCTCCCCCCCAAAAAAAAGTCCCACCACCTCCAAGGACACCAAACTGCCTGCGACCTTCCTTGAACGCCTTGGAGTTTGGCTGACCCAATGTGCCGGATGGCCAGAAACCCAAGGAATGAAAAGGCATGAAACGGTCTTTGAAAATTGACTACCTGTTCAAACCATCCACGCAGCCCACCCAACGTCGCCCTTGGCAGAAAGTTCCCCGGGGAACGTCTGTTAGAATTGGAACGACACAGAAAAGGTTGGCATATCCCCAGCTCAAGGATGACACGGATCGTCATGGGTTCTCCATTAACAAAACCCGTTTACTCTGTTTTCGTCAGTCGAAACAGGGAGCTAATGGATACCTTCTCGCCCTGCAAGATTTCTTGATAAAACCCAGAAACCCAGTAGAAAGGGCAATGAATCCCATGCATGCTGGACACCAACGCGGTGAATCAAACGGGCTGTTCGACCGTTGAGTCGCACCGAGTGTGATGATCGGTGCGACTTCAGGGCGCATGTTGTAGGTTGATGGGTTGCCTTGGGTTGATGGCCCCCATCTACGGTCTCTCGACACCCACCAAAAACCCTGTTACTCCCTCCCTGTCCAACAGAAGTCTGCAACCCTGCAGAAGCAAGCCCGGAGGAGACTTCCCCGGACCACAGCAGTGCCTGCCGGCCGCACTAGCCTTCTCCCGAGTGGGCGCTTTGGGCAGCCGGGGCTGACCCGGGCTGCTCTCCAGCCTGCAGAAATGTCACACCTCGAACAGGTAAGCGCATGGGGCTGTTGTGGCCGCTGATGTTGCTCTCCGCGCATTCTGTGCATTGCCCCGATTTGCCGATTGACCGCCTGACGGCTTGTCCTGTGCAGTGGTTTCGCGCAGGTCAGCACAGGACACAATCCGCAGTTGGATGCCGCCGTGTCACTTGCGGTCGAGGCATTTTTTGCCAACGCTGCCACTTGGCTTGTGAAGATCGCTTTCTGACGGTTGACTGTGCACAGTGGACACTGACAATTCGGGACAGATAACGGCGGTGGAGCTACAGAGAGCCCTGGCCATGGGGAACTTGCGCTTCTCGCTGTCCACCGTTGCCCACATGATACGGTTAGTAATCTTCGGTGCTGTGGAGCACAGCTGCGGTAGTGGGCTTACGGTTTTGCAAAGATTTCGTTCCAGGTCCTTTGACCTTTGTCTTTGGTCATTACGCGTTGTCTAGATTGATTCACCAAGCCAGCAGCAGATCCACACTGAACATTGCTGTTCTGGACAAGCAAGCACATAATACAGACTGGACAGTCCCCAGATAGAAACGCTGTTGCTGGTACGTTGCAAGGTGGGTCAAATGGCTTTCAAACTGTCAGAATCAGCAGGCAAGGAGTTTGGGCTGCGAATTCAGCTGACATTTGGAGCTGGCCTTTTCTGCTGGTGAGTTCCTTGGATTACATTGTCCAGCCACGACAAAACACAGCCCTTGAACCTTGTGGGCGATGACAGGCTTGAAAAGAACACATTTCTTGTCTGCGATGACACCTGCGACGTGGCATCAATGTTTTGTGCTGTTCCCTGGTGTTATCGTTACCTTCTGCTCTCTGTTCTTGTCGCAGGGTGCATGACCAAAACAGAAGTGGGGCCATCGACTTTGCTGAATTCAAGAACCTCCATGAGTTTCTGGTCTCCATGCAGAACTCATTCAATTATTTTGACAGGGACCGAGGGGGCACGCTGTCTCCAGATGAGATATACCAGGCTGTTTCCCATGCAGGTAAGGTGCAAGGTACACAGAATGGAAGTTCCGAGAAGGCTAGGACCATGGCTTGTGGTGTGCCTCACAGTATGTTTGCAGTGTTGCCCTTGACTGTGTTTTCGTTGTCAGGACTGCAAAGACTGGAGGATGCTACATTGCAGAAAGTGGAGTTGTATATTGGTCATTACTCTACAGGCGGGGCCCCGCATTGGCGGCCCTGTGTGACGGGCTTCCCGAAAGGGTTGATGTTCACTGCCAGTAGCTAATATGTAAAAAGGTGCTTTGTGGACATCAGAATGTTCCATTTGGTGATTGTGGGATTTCCCATTCAATCCCATTCAATCGCTCAAAGTCACAGATCACGTCTATACTGACATTGGGCAAGGACCCACTGCCGTAGAAAAGCGTGTCAACACCATTTCCCCAAGATGCAGGTCGCTATTCAAAGACGGTTCAGTAATCGTAGCTCACATTTCTGGGCCACAACTATGGTCATTGCTCAATGTTGGTAGTGCATACGATTGCGGGCCTGCACCATGGTGTTGTGGTTTTTGACAGCGTTATATCTGTGCAGGTTTTCATTTGGACCAACATGCGTTTTACTCGATGGTCCGAGCTTTTGACCCCGACAGAACTGGGCAGCTGGAATTGGCAGAGTTCATTGCGATGACTCTGTTCCTCAAGAGCTGTGCAGCCACCTTTGGTGCCTACGACCCTCAGCGAACAGGACGGGTTCAGTTTGACTTCAACCAGTTCATCTACGCTTGTGCAAATGTTAGGTAACATGACCTGTGGGGTCACTGGCATGGAACACTAACTCCGTTCAGGCGCCAGCTGGAGCTTCTCCATGCCTCAACGGGCTGGCCATCGGTGTGGGGTCCTTGTGGATATCTTTGTCTGAAACAATAATGCACAGCGTGGCCTTTGGACGCATGTTGATGTGATGATTGCAGAGCAGCAGAAATTATTGTTCGTGTGGGTGAGGCCTGCTGTGGGGCAGTTTGGTTCCTTGCAAGGCTGGACATGCACACTGCTCCCCCTTCTCTGCTTTCTTCAGCCCACAAACCTGTACTTGAAATTTCCTCGCCATCCAACACCAAACTGAACTTGGCTCTTGCGGGTGGGAGCCAAACAAGATCGAGTGAAAGCACGATGGTGTCTAACTAATCACCGCCAGCCAGCCCCTCCTTGAGCCCGCCACCCCCATGGTGATATAGAAACCCAGAGTGCGTGGCTGGAAATGGCCTGACGAACTTGGCTGTCAGTTTGAATGAGCAGGGCTCTCCCTTGACGTCACTCTTGCAGAAACTCACCAGCGTGATACTTCAGTGCGTGTTCGGCTTTGCGGGTTTCACAAGGCTGATTTGTAACATGATTTTGATATATGGGATTCTGGGGGACCGGCCAGCCTGTCAGAACCAATGTCTCGCTTTTGACGCCTTTGTGAGGTGTGCTAAGATTCGCAAATGCAAGTTTGGGGCTTCATAGCATCGCTATTTTTCCGCAGTTGGCAATATGGGTTGGATGTGTATGGGCCATGGAGGGCAAGAGTAGAGGACACTTTCTGTGACGGACACAGTTTGTGCCAAGGGTAGTGCAAGAACTCCCAAAGCATTCAGACGTGAACCCCATAGTGTACGCTTCCACTAAATCAAAATGCGAAGAAACCTAACCAACACGATTATCCCACTCCTAAGGTGCTTGTATATGGAATGACATACTGCTTGTGGGCAGCCAGTCATTGTTTGCCAAATCGGTCCCACCCAGAAGACAGCGGAACTCGCAATGCCAAGAAAGAAGGAAACGATGCAGTACCCAAAGCCAGGCGCATGACTCCCCTGCCGCCAACTTGGAACGGAGGTGCACCCTGCCTGGTTGTATGACTGGTGATAGGTGTGATTGCGGCAGGTTTGTATTCATACATCAGGATGGTGGGTGACTCAATGGCCTTTATTGAGAATATGGTCGCTATTGCCAATTGATCCATAAATTTTGCATTTATTGCCCAGGTGTGAAGAAACAGAGTTGCAACAAACACTCGTTGTTGGTCATGAACATTGTCGCTTCGCGGTATCAATTTGCCCTTTGGGTTTTCTGATATATTAACACATTTCACAACATTGTGAAATGGAAACCTAATCCACTACGCACTTCATGAAACAAGAAAGAAATGTGATATATCTTATCTTTAAGCAAGCGTTGTCAAGGAATCATTGAACACTTGTCATGCGAACATGTCCATTTAGCCACATAATGACCACCATTTTGCATGTGTTGATCAATTGTGTTTCAAGGCTGGCGATCACTCTGCATTTCAAAAGAACGACTTATCTATATGGAATGGCTTGAGCGAACCTCCATTACGAAGATTGTCAAAAACATTCATGAATTTACTTTGCGAAAGTGCCTTTTTTATTTAATCTCAAGGAAGACACTGTCAAAATTGTCACACTTAACATCAATTTGAAATTAAATCTATGTGCTAAGAGATTTATGTTTGTGGCGTACAAGAGTGACCACCGTTTCACACGTAATCATTTATGTAATTGGCGTACCATGGGCATCTACCGTATGTGTTGTGCACGTTGCATAGGATGGCCCGAGTATGCCACCATTGCTGATATAGAAAAGAAAAAGGAAACAAAGAGAAAACACTCCGAAAATGGGTTATAAGTGGACAGCCGCAAACTTTAGGAGTGAGAACGAGAGCCATCCTATTGTGAGGTTAGGGAGACAAAGGCTGGATGTGAGTTGCTACCCCGTATTCTCACCAGATTCATGTCACCATTCAGCGCCCCAGACTAATTGGATTCAATGACAATTCTGGGAGGTCCTTGGACTCAAGGGCATAGACTATGTGGGTAGATTGGGATGGTCTAATCAACTATTCCTTGGTCTGAGAAAGACCACATGGGTTGTCTGACCTAACGAAGAGAGACAACTAGTCCACCAATCTACATGAAAAAATAGGGTTTCATGTAATGTGTGAGGTTGCATTTAAGGTGGGACCTTGAAGTGCATTTATACACACAGGGCTGACATGGTATGTATATTGGCTCTGTGGGATCTCAGAGCTCAGATATGGTGTTGGTCCTCGTGTCATGCAAGGCAGCTTTTAGCACTCTCATTGTAAGCACTTGCATGCATGAAAAGTTATAAGCCAGAATGGCCATGATGAGTTTAGCATATGAGAAGGGTGAGGGAGTGAGAGTCAAAAATAGGTTGACTCCCCTCAATATGTGTGTTGACTATGTATTTTACACTTTACCCAAGATTGGTTGTGCAAGCCTTACTGAATTGGGACAAAGTATTGAGTTATTGAGAAAAAGTTGATGAGAGTTGGCTTAGTGGAAAAAAAAAACGTGAGAGGGTGGTGGTCGTTTTGAAAAGACAAGTGCACCAAATTGTGCATGGCCCTGTAGAAGGGCCAACAACTCATTCATTGGTTTTGAATGGGGAAGTGATATTGTTCGAGTGCCATGATGTTACAAACAGCTGACAAGCACCGCCAGGAGGGAGTCTACACTTAGGAACAGCAATATGGCTCAACGTCCAGCCGTATACGCTCAATGATAGTCACTAAGGACACAGCCACTATCACAGCCCTGTAAATCGCCCAGAATTTCTGAACATTCCGCTCCTGCACTTTTGCCACCTTAGCTCATAAACACTCACAGGACAACGAGAATCACCACAACAAGTAAATTCAAGCCCAACAGGACACTTGGGGTGTTGTCGAGTGCTGCCAAAGCGAGGCGCAACCCCAGAGTTGAACTTCGTGTTCAAGTTCACCTTAACCATTCACATACAACGAGGAGCATGCAATGGCTGATCAGCTCGACGAGAGGCACGGAAAAACACGTTCAAACTGCGAAACGACGCTCCACACCTCGCTCAGTAGCTCAGTATGACGAGCGTACTGACCATTCTCCAGATGTCGCAAACCGATGTTGTCGATGCTCGTTCCTTGCGGTCCAGCGCTGCGCTCCACTCACTCGCCAAGCAGCGGACGATGAGGACGAGTCGTTGAGTCGATGAAGTCAGCGCCCAACGCGAGCGCACGCGGGTCAGCCGGTCAATGAGGCAGGAAACGAGCTCGGCGACGAGCTGTGGGTATGTGCAGCGGTGCACAACCCAAAGGACAATCGACCCGGAGGGTCAGGAGGCAAAGGCACACGGAAACGAAAGTGCTCGTTACAAAGCTGCTCCCCTTCGACCATGTTCGACCTCCACACACTCACAGCACGACCGCTTTCAACAGAACACCCGCCGTTCAGACCACTGGAACCAATAACGGACGGGTGGGGGGCGGAGAGAGAGGGGAGAGGGAGCACCCACACCCCAAACACTCCCTCCTAAATACCCCCGCCAGCTCCAAAGGCACTACACTTCAGCGACCCTTGGATAAACAAACAGACACATCAAGGAAAAGGTCCCAGTACTCCTTGTACTTCTCAGAACTTCCCATTGTCCTTCTCCAAGTTGACCCTTTCCAAAGGGTCACACAATACAATCAAAAAAAGTCACTTTTGAATACTACAACATCAGTCACCAGCTGTCTGCGCTCCTTGGCAGCACTCCCATAAAGATGTACTGCTGTACATCTTCTTCCCACTCATGCTGCGAAGAACTAATTGCTATAGGTTCCTGAAAAATCAAATTAGGGGGAACCCCCCTATTCAAACAAAAAATACATCTAATGCATTTCTCATCCCAAGTACATCCCTCACACCCCACAGTTCCGTAGTGGGTAGTGTCTCCCGGCTGCCTAACCCATTCCACCTCATTCTCCCCCATGTACAATATACGGGCCCTCAACTATACCCCTTGCATCATCCAGCTTCCTTCCGGCCCTGGCAGCTCCACCTCCCACTCAGTCATTACGTAACTTTTCCAACGCGACGCGGCGACCACCCTCCAGTACGCCCGGGTGGCGTGCTCCACTATCCTCACCGGCAGCCCCCCGTCTCCCTCGGCGGGGCCGCCCACACTCCCCTCTCCGGCCCACGCGAACGGCGCGGGCGGGCTGTCCGGGCCGTCGCACTCGGCGGCCATCCAAGCATCTCACTCGGAGATGCTCCAAACGCCCTCGCCACGCCAATTCGCGGCGAAGACACTCCGCCGGAGCCGATCGCCCAACCGAACGTTGGGGGTCGCTGCGACCCAATAGGCTTGGACGGCAAACACTTGGCCGTTCAGGCGCCTTACTCGCCACCGAGTCATGGCATCAAAAGCGGAGTGGAGCCAAAAATGGGGCGTTCCGGGGCCGGAGGCCATGGCCCATGTCTCCGTCCCACCGAGCCCATTGCGGCACGCGAGCACCACTTTGCCCACTTCGTCTGGGCCGACCAAAGGCTCGCCCGGGCCCCTTCGTCCCTGTGTGCACGGATCCACAAATATCCCTGGAGGGAGAGAAAACACCGCTCCGCCATGGAGCATGGCGGAATCGGATGGTCCGCCCACCCCAAATGCGAGCACGTTCGACCCGCCTACGGAACATGGGGATGCTCTGGCCATGGCGAAGGAGGGCTTCCGACGGTCCCTGCACGGTCGGGGAGGTTGAGGTGTTGCGGCGCGCCAAGCAGACCGGGCACAGCGGGCATAGGCGGGGCGCAGGCGCAACCCGCAGGGACCAGATGCAGGAGGGCGCGGTCACGTCTGACATACGGTACATTACACAAAATGTCAAAAGGGTGGTCTTCCGTACGGGTGCAAAACCACAAAGTACTGTTAGCAACTGCACCCAACGTCCCATCACGCCTCACTGGACCCCTATACCCTGC